TGTTGTGTGTGTGTGTGTGTGAATGTATCTTGTGCAACAGGTGTCAGGGTGTGCTGTTCAGACCTGTATGTATGGCATGTACCACATGCCTCTCCCACACAGTCTACATGACAGACCTGCAATGACAGCATGGGAACTCCCTCAACGCACACACACACACACACACACACACACACACACACACACACACACACATGCAGGAGATCTCTGCAGGTTATGGACAAAGGCAGGTGGCTGCTGGGATTGTGTGTAGTTCTTCTTTCATTCACATGAGAGAAACCCAATCCTTCGCACATTTCAGTCTTGGCAGCTGTGCCGAGGTGTGTGTATGTGTGCGTGCGTGTGTTAGTTCTGGATCTACGGTAACGCATGGAATGTGATCAGTTGGTGTCCATTGTAAATATATCTTCAAGAGCCCCTGAAGTCGTTTGATGAATGCATTTTTTTCTGTCTTGTCTTGATGTTAGGGCTGCATGATTCATCAAAATCGCGTAATGGCTTAGTGTGATTATCAAATTGCAATCAAACTGCGATTTAATTAAATATGTGCTGCATGTTTCATAGTGAAGCGTGGTACTGTGTTCATTTACACGTGAGCAAGTTATGCTCCACTGTAGCATCTGAGTGGTTCAGAACTCCATCCCTGCATCTGCTCAGAGTTTGGGTTACTAACATGCATTTAGGAATGCAACATGCACCCATACTTGTAGCGAGAAACTCGTCAACAAAAGGGAAGCTGTAAGGGCTACCTGCAGTTGTCTGTCAAAATAAAAGTTTGATGGTTTAATTATTAAAATAAAAAGACAGAAAATGTAAAATAATGTAAAATAAATCATTATTGTTATTAATATTATTATTAGTTTTATTATTATTATATTATTATATAATTAAATAGTATTACTAAATGAAATATAACTAACAAATTGTTAGTAGTAGTAGTAATAATAATATTAATAATAATAATAATAATAGTAATTAATGTTGTTATTATTACTACTATTACTACTACTGCTGCTACTACTAACAATTTGTTATTGTTATATTTTTGTTATATTTTAAAGTCATATTGATAGATAATCACAAACTTTTGGCTTAATTGTGTATCCCTACAAGCAAAGCACAGCAAATCTTAAAAAAAAAATAAAAAATAGAAATCATAATTTTCTATCAAAACAAAATCACAAGTTGGTGGCATATCAAAGGGCTTGTCTTTTTTTTTTTTTTTTTTTTTAGGGTGGGATTTTTTCTTTCTAGACTAGAAAGCATTTGATTGGACAAAAATGGACACGCCTCTGAGTGCAAGAGGAGTCATGAGTCCATTGTCAGAAGTGAAAGACTGTAAATGTTAAATGGGTTTATGCTAAAGGTTAATTTAGTCAGATGAGATCAGAGCCCTTTAGGACCTTTAGGAAATATGTAAATGTGTAAATATTATTTGTAGATGCAAAAATATGTAAATGCCTCTTATTCATTTGCAAACATTGATATGTTTATGGCTGTATGAACAAGACGAGGGAGTGGGAAACAATAAAAAGAGAGAGAGTGAAAATAAGAACTGTTTGATGAAAAATGAGACCGTCTGGATATTATTATTGAAGGTGGGGAGTTTTTGTGGTTTCTGCTCACTGTGGGTGGAGCAAATTAAACGGGAAACTCACTTCTGGGAATCACTGTGTCCAAACATCATTTGCAGCCTCCTTCTTAAAGGGACAGTTACACTTGTCCAAAAGTCTCTCTCTCTTTCAAAGGCTGTCGTTTCTCTCTAGTCATTATGCTAAAATGTCTCATTATTTTTTAATGTTTTTGTGTGATAATGGGTCATAATGGAATTAAATTAAAGCATAATTAAATCTCTGTGGTGTGTGTTACAGATCAGTGTGCATGCAGTGAGGAGACGTCGGAATGCACTTGCTTGTTGGACCTTCATCCCAGTGAGGTGCGTAAATCCACAGCTAACCTGCAACATCCCCTGCAAACCAGTCTTCAGTGTCCTGAGATTGTTTCTGTTCTAAACACGTACAAGGTCATTTACATTTATAATACAAGAATTTCTCTACTCTTTGAACTCCTGATGCGGTTTCTCTACTTTAAGGGTGCGTTCACACTTGTCATGTTTGGTTCGATTAAAACGAACCCTGGTGCGATTGCTCTGTTAGTGCGGTTCGTTTGAGTAAGTGAGAACGTTGCCATCCGAACCCTGGTGCGCACCAAACAAGCGGACCGAGACCACTGAAAAGATGGGTCTCAGTCCGCTACCAAACAAACTCTGGTGAGGTTCGAATGATATATGAACGCAACAAGGACCAAATACTTCTAAACGAACCAAAAACAGGAAGCAATGACAAGATGCGACGCTATGCGACATGATTTGATGACGTGGTGTAACCAAAACAAAATGAGCAGAGGGCAAACGTGGAGCAACGATGAGGTAAAGTGCCTTTTTATGAGCTCCTTGTGAGTTTGCAGGTGGTGAAAATAAAGTTATATGTACATGCAAGAATGAGCGCGCTTAGTCCAGCAGACGGCATTAGGTGTGTTCGACTTAAAGCGGTGCTGAGCAGACCGATTGGTGAATGATACTTTGTTTTCATTTTTGGGTGAACTAACCCTTTAAGTCTAACGCACCTTTTGTGTGGGGTGTTCGGTGAGTTCCGTCACGATATATACGTCATTCAAGCCGGCCAATCATGTTGTGAACGTATCACTATGCCTTAAGGTTCAGTGTCCTTAGGTTCTCTGTCAAAAATGCCAATGTGAATGTTAAGCGGACCAGGACCAAATGTATCATTTTCCTTTTTGGTCCGGACCAAATGAACCAAACGAACCAAACTACAAGTGTGAACACACCCTAAAAAGGCTGACTGTAGTGCTGGAAGTTCCTCACAGTCAGTGATAGTGTTAATATCTAGCTCTTCTACACAATTCAACAGGGCTAGTGAAATGATCAGCAATCTGTCTACAAACAGTGATTTAATTGAGACATTTAAAATGAGTAATAATTATTACAATAATTAATATAGTACAATATTTGCATTGATTCATGATTCATGTATACAAGATGTATAGGCATACTGTTTTTATAAAAATAAAGATGTCTATTAACATGTCTTATAATAAAGATATTATTATATTGAGATGCAGACCATTTATATTCAGATTTGCAGTTTTATATTTAGGGATTATAAATATATTGCATTTATATAAATGATATAATATATACATTTACATTTACAGAATATATTGAGAATTATAACTTTGTATATTCGAGATTTACAATTATACAGTCAGAATTATAACTTTACATTCATTATTTACATTTATATATTCAGAATTATAAATACATATTCTTTACATTGATATTTTCAGATTTGTAACCATATATTCACAATTTACATTCTTATATTAAGATTTAGCGATATATTCAGACTTACAATTATATATTCATATATAACTTTGAAAAACAGTTTGTGATTTTATGGCTATATTAAATTATCATTTTGATTCCTTGGATGTGATTGGTGGAGGGTTAGAACCAAATCATATATATTACTGTAAGTAATTTTATATCATGGTAATTGTATATATATATCACAATATAGTTATATGGCATGACATTCAACAACAACAAAAAATTGTTTGTTAATATTTATTATTAGTAGTATTTTTAAATATTAAACAGCCATGTGGTAATACATGTTTTTGAATAACACAGCAAATTTGTTTTATGTTTTGAAAGTTAATCATTTTCACCAAGAAATAAGATTGGGACATTTTTGAGTTAAAACCAAAATACTAGTAAGACTAATATTATAAAATAGATCCTTCATAAGTTTAACGCTACATTCATAATACATCCATTGTAAAATAGCCAGTATATACACAACTGCACATGAGTTTAACAATGTTTTTTAATATTAACTGTTATACCTCCCAGTCCTACTGTGTGCGTCTGGTATGAAGTGAGTAAAATTGACTCTATACTACTACTAGAAATGTGCTAGACAAACTCTCACACTCTTTCATGTCTCTCTTTCTTTCTCTTTTTAGCTGTCTTTGCAGTCTCACTGACAGACAGACACAACATATTGCTGCAACCCAACCCCCTCAGTTTCCTCTCCATCACCAGCCAATCAAATGCACTCTGAAAATAAACTATCCAATCATGGCAAGCAAGTGACAAGCGGGGCCCATTCACAGCTCCCCAATGTAAACCAAGTGCAGCAGCAAGGACCTGCTGGCAACCAAGGGTCAAAGGGCAGTGGGTCTGGGAACCATGGAGTCAAATCCAACCAGATTTCTCCTGGCAACCCTGGACTGAAGAGCCTCAACCAAACAGGCGGTGGAGTTGGTGGGATAATGAAGACCAAGGCAAAGAGGGAAAGGAGCGTCTCCATGGACACGGGAGACCAAAGAGAGTCACTCACCCCTGTTTTGGAGCCAGATGCCAAAGGTAGGCGTAATGCTGCTCTCATCCTTAGACCGACTGTCCACGGGCCGCCCACAGTCCGTAGACTGACTATCTGATGCTTTAAACACAAAATAGCATGAGCTTTCTCAAAACATCAGGTCCAATCTGTCTGACTAGCTTTACAGATTACACATATTAGTCATGTATTCTGACTACTTGATTACTTCTAGATTATTACTTTTAGATTACTTTTGACCTAAAATGTTTCCATTCATTATCAACATTTTCCAAACTGGGAAAGACCTGCGGGGGTTCGTGAGGTGATGAAAAGCTAATAATTAATTCAATCATAAAAATATCAAATTAAACTAATTGTGTGGCCTCACCATTTTCTGAGTAATTACAGCTGACTAGTGGCTGCTGTGTGCAGTTCCATAAAACTAGAAGACTTTCTGAATGTAAATAATAATTAATAATAATAATTAAAAAATAAATGTTTTTTTTAGGAAGGAAGATTTAAGAGAGAAAATATAAGTATTAGAGCAAATCAATACCTTATCAATAATTTACTGCCATTGTGTAAATAATATGTGAAGATGTAGTGTATAAAAAGTAACTGATCTGATTATGAGCATTTTAAAATATGATCAGTTACAATATTGCAATTTTTTTTGGTTAAGTACAGTACTGGTCAAAGGTTTGGTCCAAAGCTGCATTTACTTGATCAAAAATACAGTGAAAACTGTAATATTGTGAAATATGATCACAATTTAAAATAACTTTTTTCTATTTTAATACATTTTAAAATGTAAATTAATCCTGTGATGACAAAGCTGATCTTCAGTGTCACATGATCCTTCTGACTTTGTTGTAATATTTATACTATATGCTGCTCAATTACTCATGCTCAATGATTTGTAATGGTTCTTTTTATTATCAATGTAAAAAACTGTTTTTTGTGGAGTAAAATTTTTGTGGAAACTTTTGTAAAATTATACATTTATTTTGTTTTATTTTATTGTGACTATTTAATGCGTCCTAAAATAAATAATATTATTAATTGAATAAAAGAAGAAGAAAAAAATCTTACCCCACATTTTTAATCCTAGTGTGTCATGGTTTCCACAGACATATTAGGCAGCACAACACAGATAATAATACTAAACGGGGCAAATTAACGCAAGAGCGCTATTCCAAAACAGCGCCAATGGGCGTGGAAATTTGCTGACAATGCACAAATTAAAGAACACCGACGCAACATCTCATTTCCATAATGACCAATGAAATCTACCAAGCGCAGTGCAAATTAGCGTAAGGATATGTTCAGATTCGGATAATGTGTTCTTTTGGCTTTCCAAGTAAATTAATATGCGTGGAAAAAATCCTTTCCCTTCTACCACGATCTCTTTTCTCTGCGGTGCCTCCTCCTAGCAACAACAAATGCAGTCATTTAAAGTGCAAAATAGTTTAAGGCACGCTTTTTTTGGGGTGTTAAATAATGGCGCAAATACTAGTAATTTGACGAGCGCAAAAGTTACTAAATTGTGTTGCGTGATTCTTTTTAATACTCTTCTCCCATAAATTTTGCGACTGAAAGGGAAACTCCTACAAATGCATATTCAATAAGGTCAGGCGCAAAAATAACTGTGTCCACGCCTTTTCAACGCCTTTTCTAATTCTTCACTGCACGTCTTTAGTAAATCCTGACCGTACAATTTTTAAGCTAAAGATGGTTTGCGTTGGCGCAAGCTATTAGTAAATCTGGCGTAAATGTTTCTTGAGTAGCATATTAGAATGATTTCTGAAGGATCATGTGACACTGAAGACTGAAAATTCAGCTTTGAATCACAGGAATAAATAGCTGTTTTCGATTTTAATATATTTTAAAAAGCTATTTTAAATTGTACTATTATTTCACATTATTACTGTTTTTACTGTACTTTTGAATAAATAAATGCAGCCTTGGTGAGCAGAAGAGACTCCTTTTAAAAACATTAAACAATTGTTTAGGTAGTGTATATTAAAGGTGGGGTAGGCGATTTCGGAGAGGCTAGCAATAGCATGCTAGCTTTGAAAGCAAGATCCCGCCCTCCCTGTAAATCACTCTGCAAAGCTACGCCTCCTCCAAAACACATAAACGCGCCTAGGCAGACCAAAGACTAACCTGCGACACCTTGAGAGATGGCGTTGGGTTGAATGCAGCGTTGTCAGATTACATCATGTCTCATTCACCGGTGAGAAAACATTACAGTACACAGCGCATAATATAACAATAATAACGCTTTCCATTCTCGCTCGGTCTGCAATGGAACGTGCTGATGACAAATAATGTCTGCGCAAGCAGGTCGCGCGGAGGTATGCAAATACATATGTTGACTGGCAGGTAGGACAGCCTATCGTAGTCCTCGGACCAAGGAATTTGATTGGACAAACATTTTATGGTCCTACGCCATCCACATTTAGACCACTTAACTGATTCCTGTCGGGATGTGAAGAGATTCCAGCAGAACCAGCATAAGAAAAAATGTCACCCACCCTGCCTTTAAAGAGTTTGCATTTTTGGTTACTTTTCCCACTTTAGCTTGCTCACAGATTTCAATTTGTTGATATTGATATCAGATATTAGCAGGGGTGTGAAGTAACTAAGTAAGTACTTAAGTAATTAAGTAGTTTTTTTCAGTAATTGTACTTTTTTGAGTAGTTTAAAAATTGTGTACTTTTACTTTTACTTGAGTACATTTTAAGTGATGTATCGGTACTTTTACTCCGCAATTTTCCTCCGTTTGTGGTCGTTACATGCTTATTTTAATGTTATTTTTATCCATCAACGTGATTGGATAGATAGTAATAGGTCTCGTGACTTTCGTCAAATCAAATTG